GGTCGTGTAGGTGGCTTCTAGAATTACAGACAAGGACTTAAAGGCGCAAAACAACAATTTTTGTTTTCATGAGGTCTTTAAATTAAATTATTGCTCAACAATGTGTTTGCTCATTAGATGGACTAGCCTGAAAAATGCAGTTTTAACCTGTTTTCTGCATTCTTTCTACAGTCTACATTTTTGCAAGTCTTTATTGGTGATATGAACTATTTTATTGAAGCATAGCAAATATATTTTGGTCTTTCCACATTCAGGCAAGGGACTTTGACAGGGTGTGCAAGGTTTTCTTGTGGTGTTTGCTGGGTTTAATGTCTACATTGAACAGGAGGATTTCTCAAATGTAATAAACTAAAAACAATCTCATGTAATTTATCCCATTTGCCGTTTCCTCAGCCATAGAGGCCGATGAGAGGGCTTTTCTACTAGCCTACAAGCCCGCAGTTGCCTTCCCTTCTAAGCTGTCTGCCACAGGATTTCTTCCCAAAGACATAGCTTTAGGTGAGTCTGAAACCACTGAGGCTGTGTCCACAGCCGCTGCAAATGAGACGACAGCTGGCAGTCTAGTTGCAGATACGGCAGCAGCTGAAGAGATCACTGAAGTCCCACCTACTAAGGAAGTCACTACAGGAAGTGAAGCAAGTAAGGCCTCAGATGTTGAGGCAGAAGGCCAGAAAGATGAAGACGATAGCTCTTCTTCATCCTCATCCTCCAGTGATTCTGATTCAGACTCTGATTCTGATGATGAGAAGCCAAAGACTGAAACACCAGTCGAGTCTGGAGAGAAAGCAGCACAGAAGAAATCTCCTGGTCTGACGATTGAAGTAGATGTTGCAGATAAGGAAGCAAAGCCTGAATCTGCCTCAGTTGGAGAAGCTCAAGAAAATGCTGAAACTGTGACTAAAGCAAAACCAGAAGAGGTTCCTGCACCAAGTGCTAAACCAGATGGATCAGATGAGACCCTTATTGATCCTGCCCCTATATTATCTCCCTCCACAACTGAAGCAATTCCAGAAGTGTCCAGTGAATCAATTACAGCTGACACTCCTGACAAGACAGTGGACACCGCAACAGATGTTAAAAAGGCGTCTACGGAGGAGATTGTTGTTGAAAAGGAACCAGAAATCAAAGCTGAAGATGCTGTCAAAGTTTCTGCAGAAGTTGTCCCAGAAGCCCCTACAGAACCTAGCCCTGAAGAAGTAGCCAAAACCGCTGTTGAAGCTAGTCATGGAGTAGCTCCTGAGGCTCCTGGAGATGTTGCAGCTAAGCCTGAGGATGCATCATCCAAAGCTGAGGCAGGAACGCCGGCAGCCCCTTCAGAAGAGCTGGTAGACCCTGCACCTGTGGCCGGCCGCTGATGCTGTAGACGCTCGGGCTGAGACGAACGTTGTGGAAACACCTGAGGGTACACCACACATCCTTACTCAGTTTCTTTCTCTGGATCCGTCACATCACAGAAACACATTTCTCTTACCATTTATTTAACACTAATACCTTTTCATGGCAGCAGTGGGATTGCTTTTGCACAAAGGCTTTGCTCAAATGGCTTTGCAACTTTTAATCTTCATTATGCATTTGCATTACATTTGCTTTTCTTATTAAGTTCTTATTGTATTTTCATAAATTTGCATGACTTCATTAATTCTACCTGGACTGATTGTTCCTTGGGTTGAGGTTTAAAATGGCTTCTATTAATAATTCATTACTTACTACTCCTTTGTCTGCTTTGTAGTATAACTCGTTTCAAAATAGTACTGTAGATCTAGAGTTTTTAAACTGATTTATTAGTTTGTGTAGTTATGCTGTAGCTCTTTTGTGTTTTATTACAACTATTGGGTGATATAATGTTTTATAACATTTATGGTAAAAACACGGAGCAAAATAATAGAGTAATGTGGAAAGATCCTGTCTTTAGAAGCATCTGGTTTACTTTAAAGTTTGATTGACTTGAGCTGTAGTGGGTGAAATGGAAAATGACAGAGTAATTAGTCAGACGTCTGTAGTCTAGGTAAAAAGCTAGAGGCCCCTCACACCTTTTATGTAAAGGACCACCTGTGGATTGAAAGTGATTACTGTAACACCATGAAAGTGTGAAGATTCAAATCCGAAATCCTTTTGAAGAGTTAGGAATTAACAGGAAGACTCTTCCTCGGTTCTTCCTTCTATGATCACTTTGTAAAAAACTTACTCGGCATGTAGTTGAATTTTTACTTTGATTTCTCCTTGCGCAAATATTTTCATTCAAGATTATCTTCCAATCTAAAAGAAATGTTCATTTACTTGTTCCTTGGGCACGGTACTCATTGTTTGGGCTTTTTTCCTGAAACAATTTCTCCTTGCGCAAATATTTTCATTCAAGATTATCTTCCAGTCTAAAAGAAATGTTCATTTACTTGTTCCTTGGGCACGGTGCTCATTGTTTGGGCTTTTTTCCTGAAACAGCTTCTTGTCTTTCAGTTGCTGTCAGATGCATTTTGTGTGATATTTTTTCCCCAGTTCCACATGTCTTACATTTAATCTCGTACATTATTGATTTCCTCAGAACAAGCCCCGGAGCCAGAGCTTGAACCCTTTGACAACACCACGTACAAGAACCTGCAGCACCACCACTACAACATGTACACCTTTGCTGATGTGGATGTAGATCTGTCTAAATACCGTCTGCCCCAGCCTTCCTCAGGCCGATCCTCACCCGGACACTGAGCCTGTGGTATTGCTACCTTTGTGCACAACCCTGTTTCTTCCCCATGTTCATTGTTCCTCAGATGATTTACTGGCAAATCGCAAGCTTTATGCTAGAATTCTATAATTATGGAAATAAAATGATTTCACTTCAACCGAGTGTATCTAGAGTTATTTGTTGCTGTTGTCTTCTACAGTATTTGAATGGTGTTAATCTCAATTTACACTTTATTCTAATGAGACTACGCTTGCCTTGACTTTATTAATAAAGGAGGGTAGTGTACTTCTAACATTAAATTGGCAAATGGTTGAAACGCTGTATTTCCTACATTAATTAAAATGTGAGACTAACATGATCCAGTTCCAACCATTTCGAAATGACCTCATTTCTAATGTTTTATGACTAACTTCTGCCTTATGTTAATTATTAGTTTCCACCATGGAATTAAAAAATTTAAATAAGGTTATTTTGACTTTTCATCTCACAATCGGGCTTCTGAATGTGCGTCCCAATTCACATACTTATGCACTATTCTATGCCACTTTGTAGTATCTTGTAGTAAATAGTGCTAGTAGTGCATTCACACTGAAAATTCCAAATAGAAAAAGTGCACTTTAAATACCCAGATGAAATATTTTCACATAGTGAGGTAGATATGTGGGGTGTGTTAGAACGAGCCGTTTTAGGGGGGCGTGGCAGAGTCTTAACTTTGATAAAGAATATCTCTTTGGTTTTGAGACTTTAGTCTTTGCAACTTCAGGGATCTTATCTATGCACAATCAGCTTGTAACACTCCAAAGAGAAAGGAAAACTTGAAATCGCATCATATGACCCCTTTAAATAACCGAAAAAACGAAGTGTGGAATGTTGGACACTTCATGCACTCAACTGTCGCAGCTTTAATTACGTAGCAGTGGGGGAGGGGCTATCAGAATCTGATTATGAATGACAAAATAACCTTATATAATTCATACACTACACAGCAGGATGCATAAGAACAGTGTATAAGTGCATACCGCATCATTTGGGACGCAGCTTTTTTTTTTTTTTTACACTTAGGGTTAGGTTTTCTCACAGCTCAGACTTTTTTTTTTAAGTTTACATCTTAACATCTCTCTTTTGTTTCCATCACACAATTAAAAATAAAATGGTAAATGTGACTTTTTATGTCAATTCTTTTTTACTCACAATTGAAAGTTTATCTCACAATTCTGCCTTTTCTTCTCAGACGTGTAAGTTCTGACTTTTTTTTCCTACCAATTGCAAGGAAAAAGTCTGAATTGTGAGATAAAAGTAGCATTTATTATTATTTTTGTTTTTGTTTTTATCCATCCATCCCGTGGTGGAAACAAGCTTCCATAGCAACTAACTGGAATTTCTGTACTTTTAAGAATTATTTCCACACTGCAAGATTCTAAATCAAGGGTTTAAATTACAAAAGATGCACAGATGTCATAAAATTAATAGAAATTTAAAGAACTATTATAAAATGTAGTTTGGCTCCCTTTGATTTTGATTTTGATTCTTTTTTGTTAGATAACAATCACTTAAATCAGGGTTTTAAACTGTTCAAAAATTGCAAATCTCATATAAAATTGAGAAATTTAAAGAACTATTATAAATTTAAGTGTTTTGTTCCTGACGTTGACGATCAACATTTAAACTCAAATGGTTTTTTTTAATATATAATTCATTGCTGTTTATGAGTCTTTGTGAACTGTTAAAGTGTACATCTGGAAGTGATAAAAAGTCATTGAGCTACAAATGCTAAAATACCGCTTTCAAGCATATTGTTAGAACTAATATATGAAATGTAATCCCTTTTTGGCTGTTTTCTCCTGGATTAGATGCAGATCATGGAGCAGTCAGAGAGTGACCTTGAGAAGGGCTTTGCCAGTGAAAACATGGGAAGCTCCAGCAGCCCTGTATCCACTGAACCACAAACACAAATGGATGTCTACAAAGCCTGTATATATAGGTGACATGAGTGTCTGAATTTACACTTTATACTTTTTATAAATATACATTACATTTAGAAATATATTTTTTAAATAAATTAATAGTTTTATTCAGCGAGGATGCATTCAGCTGATCAAAAGTGACAGTGAAGACATTTGTAATTTTTACAGAAGATATCTATTTCAAATAAATGCTGTTCTTTTGAATTTTGTATTCATGTGGCAGTAGCACAACTGTTTTCAACATTGATAATAAGAATTATTTCTTGAGCAGCAAATCAGCATATTAGTTCAAGGAGTGACTACAACAGTGTCTTCTCTTACACATGGTTCTTCTCCTCCACAGACATCCCCTCTTCCCTCTCTTGGCCCTGCTGTTTGAGAAGTGTGAGCAGTCTACTCAGGGCTCTACTCAGACCTCTGCCAGTTTTGATGTTGACATTGAAAACTTTGTACGCAGTCAGGAGAAAGATGGCAAAGCCTTCTTTAGCGAAGACCCAGACCTTGACAACTTGGTAAGAGATGTGACAGGTGTCGAAATAGCTAATATTATTGTATATACCTCATAGCTTTGATCTTAACTTCAAACACTGGCAAGTGTCACAACTGTTTCCTTTCTATCAGATGGTCAAGGCCATCCAGGTGCTGAGGATTCATCTATTAGAGCTAGAGAAAGTCAGTGACCTGTGCAAGGACTTCTGCAGCCGTTACATTTCCTGCCTCAAGACTAAGATGAACAGTGAGACACTACTGAGTGGAGAGCCAGGCAGCCCATACTCTCCAGGCCATGACCAAGTAAAGGCTGTGTTCCTTGAATTTTAGACACTGACACTAACAGCGAGTACACTGATGTAGTGTTTAATTGATTTATTCTTTTGCAGTTGTCCAACTCTTTCTCAGCTGCCCTCAGTCCCCAGGGCATTGTGGTGCCCTCGCAAGGTCTTCAACAAGGCAATATTACAGTGACTGCAGTCAATCCATCACAAGTGGTCACAGGTACATGTTCATCTGTCATTAGTTACATTGGGAGCTGCGAGGAGTTACAATCATATGCATATATGGCATATTTGAACTTTTGCAGATAGTTTGTATGCAACCACCTGACTGCATTGGGATATAGTCTAAAAAAAACTATGAGCACAAGGTGAAAATAAACAATATTTCTATGTCAATGTTATTCTGTAAAACGAGTATGAATAATTATATCTGAAATAATTATTTTATAATTAATAAGTTAATATTTACTTTTATTTTCTTTAATATGATTGTCTTTTGTTTTGTGTTGGTAATGAACGGCTGCTTCGAGCAATTTGAAAGTTCTGTGCGACTGCCACTAGGCAGGGGAAATGCGACAATCGTATGTGAATGTTGGTGCTAGTGGGTGGCTTTAAAGGGGTCCTATTGTGCTCTTTTACATAGTCTTGATTTTGTTTTGGGGGTGTACTAGAACAGGCTCTCAACACATTATTTTTCACATATTTTACATTATTACAACACCTCTCTCCTCAGTCTGGCATGAACGGCTCGAATAGTTCCTGTGTCAAATGAAGGGTCTTCAGTGTAAATATTGCGTCAATATCAAATAAATTTGAGTGCGATTTAAACCCGGATGATTGTAACCACTCTAAGTTCGTCTGCCTTGGGAAAGCTAGCATGTCTCAGACATAGTGATAACACTCGTTGCCTTCTCTAGTGCAGCTCAACCAGGTCTCGTCCCATTCGTCGATCTTTGTGATATCACAAATCCCGGAAAATATGCGTTGTAGTCCAAACGAGTCGTTCGTTGTAGTTTTTGAAAAATTTCTGTTAAATAAAATATCTCCCTTTGAATTGGACTTTGAGCTTTGTTACTTTGCAGATCTTTTTTATGCTCAAACAGCAACATTACAGACTAACTAAAGTTGAAAAAGCATAATAGGACCCCTTTAAAGTTTTGTTAAAAAAGTTGATTCACTGTTTTAAATCATTTTAGTTTCCATTTAAAAAAAAAACTCTCATAGCATTTATCATGTATTTGTTTATTATATGTGAACATTTTGAATCTAATTGGCAACATTGGCTATTTGGTTGAAATGATGGCTCCTCTGGGGGGGAAAGAAAATAGTAAATCTTGTTTTGTGCAGGTAATACAGTATATCAGCCAGTGACGATAGTCACACCACAGGGGCAAGTGGTGACACAAGCCATCTCACCTGGAACAATACACATTCAGAACTCACAGGTGTGCATGACACTCCAGCAGAGCACACACAAATATTTTTACACACAAGATCACAAGCAGACTTACTGATCAGTGACTCCTTGTACTTCCTGCAGCTCCAGCTTCAGCTCAATCAGGACTTGAGTTTCTTTGGGGGAGATGACAGCTCACCTAAAAACAAGCGTAGTGTTCTTCCCAAACAGGCTACCAATGTCATGCGCTCCTGGCTCTTCCAGCACATTGCGGTTAGTTGGCAAACAAATGTTTAAAGTCAGTCGTTGCAGTTTTGTTTTACCTGATATAAATGAATGAACACTTCACTGTTCACCTTCTTTATGTAGCACCCCTATCCCACTGAGGAAGAGAAAAAGCAACTTGCAATTCAGACAAACCTGACTTTACTCCAAGTCAACAACTGGTAAGTCAATCCAGCAAGAACACGAAGTAGACAGTGACTCTGTTGTTCCAGCCTCTCCGGAATGAATTATTCTGAGATTAATTGATTATGTGAAATTAACCACATAATAAAATGTTGTGTACTGTAATAGAATTGTTCAATAATATCATAAAATCATAAGCTTTATTTTTCATACTTAATCCTGTCATTATTGCCACATTATTATATTTGTATAAACACATTTGTCTTTAATTTTTACTTTTTACTTAATTACCAAAATAGCAGCCCACTTTGACAGCCCTATTTTACAGTTCCCAATCTTATGTTTTTATCTCCTTATGTATTCAAATGTTTAAATTAAGTTCTCAAATGCGGTGCATTTATGTATTTCCTTGAAATATTCAGACATTCTGCCTTGAAGTGCACCTGGGAAACGTACTTCTGAGTTGGGCATTTATTACGACGTCTATTGCTGATTGGCTACAAGTTTGTTTTGCAATTCGGCCCGAATCAGTTTTCTAAAGTGTTTTTGAAAAATCATATACCCTGCCTTTAAAGTCCTAAACACAAAAATAACATTAACAAAGCCAAATAATTATAGTGTGAACAGTAAACCCAAATAACTACATCTGAATTTAGAATGTAAAGAATATTAATTTCCATCACTTATTTATACATGATATCAAGTTGATGTTTATTAGCTGTTGTGTGCATCACACATTTAAAATCATTGAAATACAGCATGTGAAATTAAAATAACTTGCAAAGCCATTCATTATAATTTACTACAGATTTACTTCCCACGCACTGATCTAGATTATATTATTCTTTATATAACAATGTCTTTTATTCTTCCATGCATAGCGAGTGATGCAAAATATTGTCTTTTGGGTCTGTCCTGCAGGTTTATTAATGCTCGAAGACGGATCTTGCAGCCAATGCTAGATGCCAGCGCCACAGAGATGTCTAAAACCAAGAAGAAGACTCTTGCTCAGAGCCGCCCGCTACACCGCTTCTGGTCTGACACCATCGCCTCATCTGGAACCCAGCAGCAACTCACAATGCCAGACGGTACTGCCTCAAAATAATGTGTTCTTACAGCACTCATGCTCCAAAATTAAAACAAAGTCTGTTTTCTTGGTTTTAAATTACAGATTTTCCTTTACTGAATGTGTTGTGATTGTTTGCAGGTAGTATGGTTACAGTGGGGATGAACGTCGATGGCTTCCAGGCACTTTCATCAGATGGAGCAACTCTCGCCATGCAGCAAGTCATGATGGGAAATCACAGCGAGGATGAATCGGAGGAAAGCGGCAATGAAGACGACGCAGATTTGTCATCTGCTGACATGACCGGGCTGGGTTTAGATGTTAGCGACTAAGACACACGGATCGCAGGTCACACACTGCATGCTTACATTTACATTGGAAAACTTGCACATGACACTTGTGGCAAGAGATCCAGTCCCCTCGTAGACTTTCAGCAAAGCTGATACTTGTGCACTACAAAAAAAAAAAAAATTAAGAGTACTGTATGTTGGCTTATGTAACACACAAACAGTTTACAGAGAGCACAACGTTACTGAAAGATGCCGTGCGAGGAGTTGCATTTCAGCACCTGGTTTTATTGCGTAGACGTGCAGGTGCGTGCACTTTTATATAGAGACACTTCAAGAAGGTTGCAACAATAGAATGCAGATGAACGTTTTTAAGCTTCTGTAGTGAATGTTTGTAATGATTGTTTTCTATATTAACTCATTTGAATGCCAAGATTTTAAGAGTTTGTCGTCGTGCTGTTTTATTCACACTGCATGTTCATGTTTTCTTCAGTATGCTCACGCTTGTAGAGAGGCTCCAAGACCGAGTTTGAGAAAAGAGATTATTATTTTTATATATGAACGTTGTAAAAAGTGTTGTTTTTTCTTTTCTTTTTTTTTTTTTGTTTGGGTTTTTTAGGGAATATTTATGTACAGAAACTATACTATCTGCCCTGTTTTCAGGGTATGACTTAAAAGTTTTTTAGAAAAGACAAAATAGATGTTGGATTATAAACCATTTTTAAATATGTAAATTGGGTTTAACACTCACATACAAAATGCCTTACATATTCTTTTGTAAAACTATACCGCTGATAAGCACAGAAAGCCTGATACATTGATAAAATTTTGTAATATGAGTTAAATCAAAGTCTCTTCCAGTAATCTTCATCCTTATGCTGAAGATGTTCCTTCGTTTCAGAGGGACCTCTTTGTTTTTGCTCTATAGGCTAATGTAGTTTGATCTAACACGTACTAAGCTTCCCTTAACAATCAGAGTTATGAAAGATGCTTTGGGAATTATGGCATAAAATGTCCATATAAAGGTCAAGTCTGAGTATTTTGCCACACCATTTTACATTAAATGTTGTAAATTGTGTGCTGTTTTCTAAACAATTATTTAAGGACTGTAAACACTACAATAGTATAACATAATAAAGCCTTTACAAAGTTTTGCAACAGTGAAAATACTTTTTGCATGGATGGGGACTTTGTTCTTTTTTCTCCATATTTATTGCATATTAGATATAAGCACATTGTCGCTTGTGTGTCTCTGGAAATTTGTGTATTTAATCATTCATGACACATCAGAGGATTGTTTGGCAGGTATTTCTTAAAACAATAGCAAGTACTGTATAAGACTACTTACACCAAATAAAACTTTTTCAGATTTGAGTGCACGTAATACAATGATTTCTTACGCCGTGCCTGTATATGACATACAGTGACCAGTGCAAGGTTGTTGTTTTTTTGTGGAGTTTCTGCCTGGATTCAGTTCCTTGATGTCTTTCCCATAATTAAACTGTAGAGCTGGTTGTAGAGGGGTGCAGCATTTCTTCTCTCTGTTTGAAAAGTAGCAAAGAAAATGATTAATTTTTTCTTCTTGTAGTTTCGTCTAATTCTTAAACCACAAGAGGGCGCTGATTCATCAGAATAACTGGTGAAATCAGGTGATAATCTGTATGACCTTTCTCAACAAAAATGGCTATTCCCAAATGATTTTCCCACAGAGTTTAACCATCCACCTTTTCTGGTTCTGGTATTTTCCCATTTACTTTCTTTAAAGGGGTCATATGATGCGATTTCAATTTTTCCTTTCTCTTTGGAGTGTTACAAGCTCTTGGTGCATAAAGAAGATCTGTAAAGTTGCAAAGACTAAAGTCTCAAATCCAAAGAGATATTCTTTATAAAAGTTAAGAGTCAACCATGCCTACCTAAAACGGCTCGTTCTAACATGCCCCTACATATCTAGGTCACTATGTGGAAATATTAGCATAATGCCGCCCAAATGTGCACGCAAAGAAAGAAGGCGTGGTTTCAGGAACAGCAGTCGTGTTGATGCAGCCATGTCAGGGAGACGGTGTGTGTTTCAGTGCGAAAGCAAAAGCACTTTATTTGGCCTTCCGGAAGTAGATGCAATTAGGAATCATTGGTTAAGATTTATTTACAACAGAACAGCACAACCCAGATGTTCGAATTTGTGCAACGCATTTTATGGACGACAGTTTTTTTTAACCTAGAAGAGTACAAGGCTGGCTGTGCACAAACGCTATTTAAAAAAAAAAAATAAAAGGGTTAATTCCGACTTTGCTATGACAATCTTGAATCAGCGACTGTAAGTATGTTTTGTTATTAGTTTAAGTATTTGCTATTGACTGTTTAAATGCGGAGTTTTGCGCAGCGCAGAGTAACGCGATGTGTGCGTGTGTGTGTGTGTGAGGGGAACAGGGTCACATCACAGGAGAGTGAACTGCCTGTCAGAAATCATAGCACGTCAGCTGTCTTAACCGCGGCTTGTGTACTGCATCATCACTGTGTCTGTCACGCGACTTTGTTGCCCTTTCGGGCTTGAACTGATGGTAAAATTAACAACATTATTAACTGTCTTGATATTTACTTTGAAAGCTGAAGCTCGTGATTATGGTAAGGGGCGTTACATTTCCGACGCGTGCTTGTGGTGTTCGGCCAATCACAATGGACTGGGTCAGCTGGCCAATCAGAGCAGACTGCGCTTGTCAAAGGAGGGGGCTTTGTTGAAAACGACGTGTTTGAGAGAGGCGGGGCATAGAGGACCTACAATAATGTACAGTATTTGAAAAATAATGTCTTTTTTGAACATTAAAGCATGTCAACATATTCTGTTACACCAAATACACAAAATAATGATCTTTAAAATAGCATCATATAACCCCTTTAAGTTTTAAGAAATGAATCACAACATTGCCAACTTTAATTTGAAGCAAAAAAAAAAAAAAAGTGTACAAAGTTCATAAAAAGGAGGCCGTCTCACTATATAGCTACCTTTTGACAAACTACAAACTTCTGTCTCATACTTAGTTCACAGATACACATGATACACATGATCACTATCCTGACCTCCATCTGCAGATGTATCCAGGTAAACCCCAGGTTTGTTCTTTTCTGCACAGCCTTGTCCCCAGCTTGTGGCTCCCACCAATTTCCAGGTAAAGGAATCCTCACAAGCCAGTGGACCACCACTGTCTCCCTATTACCAACATGGACGAAAATATTTTTTGTAGGTCCTTCAGATATTGCACTTCCTTTAAACTGTAGTGTTTAATGTTGACTTGCACAATAATAGTACAAAGTTAATCAGAATTTGGTCTTATTCTAATAATTAAGCGTTGTCCAGAATATAAACCTTAAATGGAATTTGATGTGCATGAAAACTGTATTATATTCAGCATAGAATTGGTATAATATCACTATAATATCAAGTACATAAAAATCCATGGTGAGAGATATACCTGGCAGGAATCTGTTCCCCCGTCCAAGTAGCCTGCGCAGATCATGCCTGGTGATATATAACCTTGGTAAACCTCCGGCTGACTGCAGGCCTTTGCAGAGATCAGTGGGACTCTTGCTGAAAGCAGCGATACACTCCCTTCACCTAATAGAACACAACAGGACATTTTATCTCCTTGTGGGTCAGTTTACAAACTCAGAAGAATCAGTGTGTTGTTCTTTTTTTTTTTTGGTGGCTAGCACAGCATATTTTACTAAGTAGAGGCAGCACAAGAAATACCACAAAGTCTGTCATCGGTGGAGTGTAGTTTAATTGTTCTGCATCAAACAGAATTGCAGTCTGTTCATCTGAAAGGCTTGACTGGCTAAACATAACATGACTGGTTCAAATAATGGTGTGAGTTTTGGCCTGGACTTCCTGTTTGCCCCAGGGGTGTCAATGTTTGTGGCTGGTTCCAGATAGCCCCTCTTTGGGAGATGCTGCAGTTACAGCATTCTGGGGACAAAAATATTTTTCTCAATTGAAATATATACAAAAGTATCTGTGCATTCTCACAAAATAATTTTTCAGCATACAGTATAAGTGCAGAAAGACTTAACTCATGTACTTCCTAGGCTGCGTGGATCTCCTGGGCACTTGGCATGAACAGGAATGCTAAAAGATAACCCTCTCCAGGTATTATAGTTCAAGCCGTGTTGGAAAGATTGCATTTACAATTTAAATGCACATGAACGCCACCTCAAAGTCGTAATTATGAACGGGAAATTCAAGATTTTCTTTGAGCCCTAAGTTTCTGAGTTGTGGATGTGTCAGTGAGAAAACATGCTGCATCTATATTGATGATACATTTTTGAAATGTCTGAAAGTATTATATTTCATTTACCATCAGACTAGCTAAGCTGCATGTACAGAATATAATAGTATTGTCAGGGCTGTCACAAACATGGACCGAGGCCCAGTGCAAGTTAGAGGATGCAGGTCCTCCTCAGTGCATTTGTGATTTTTTTCACAGGTGGCGTCCACTTGGTGAATTCACGATCCTCTGTCTGTTCACAAACGTTTTCCAGGTTTGGTCACAAGGCCCCTTAAAGCATTAGGGCCTTTGCATAGCACATGTATTGTACAATTACAAATATCGTACAATTATACACCTTCATAAATTGAATAAAAACGAAAGCAGAACACCCGATGTGCATTCTTGATCATTTCATGTAGTAAACTTAAAAAAAGGTACATTGCCATCTTGCTCCGGCCAAATGCATCTGACATCATAATTATGATTTCCCAAATACAAAATACAAATTTCCCAGGAAGACTTGAATGCACCATTTGCCCTCATTGGTTTGAGTGACCTGACTGGTTCAGTTAATTAATATAACATTGACTTAACCAATAGTCAACACGAGTCTAACCCTGCTGGAGGCTTTTTGACCAACTGAGCATGTTGAATTGTTGAATCATTGGGCACTTGGTTAGAAAAATCACTCTGATTGGCCGTTCAGCTTATGTTGGGTACACACTAGACGATTTTAGGCCCAATTTTCACTCACTGACAGTTTTCTTGAGATTGCAGACAAAAGCCTGAAATCTGAGGCAAACTGGTACTTGTTCATGTGAGTGAATATTTATCAGTCTGCATACCTGGGCCTTTTGTGAAGACCAACCAAAGTGAAGATCAACTGATCAGCATGATTCATATTCAAAATGGTAAGCAAGCGCTGCTTTGTATATTTGAAGTCCAGTTTTCGCTTTCCCTTTTTGAAGGGATGAGGACTGCCACTTACTGATACAGACAGTTATCTCCTCTCACACAGTCGCAGAACATTCGTGCTAACTGGACATTGGCTGTAGTCTTTTGTGTGTTCAAGCACAACCTTTTGGCTAAAAACACAAGCAGCACGAGGCGACAACATAGCTTTCATTGCCACTAGTTCTTCTATGTCTGTTTGGTGTGTTATGGCCCTTAAGCTCCCAGACTCACCCCCATCATCAGTGGCACCCCATCCTGAGATCCAGCACATTTTACCATCCTCAAACTCCTCCCCAAAGTTCGGCAAACAAATAGGCTCCACAAAACCTGAAAAAAAAAAAAAATGCTGATAAGCCATTTGTCACAATGAATGCTAAACAAGGGCATGGAGGATGCAGGTTATTAAGATAAGTTTAAAAGTCCATTTGCATAACTGCCAGCCATTACACTAGCAATGGTTCTTCAGAATAACCTCTTATCATTTTAAAAGAACTCCTTTTGCAGAAGGTACCATTGAAGCTGAGGGGATGCACCAGTTTCATCAGAGCAATATCATTGTCCAAGCCCTTGGGTCTGTAGCGACTGTGATAAATGATCTTCTCTACAGCGAGAGATTGCACTGCTCAGTATAGGGTATGCAAACCTGCATGGAAAACAGCAGACTATGATCATTTCCATGTGGGTGTCTGAATATTGTTCCATGAGGACATTATAGACTCACCCGTATACACAATGTGCAGCAGTCAGTATCCAGCAAGATGATATAATGGAGCCTCCACACAGGTGCTCGTTCTGAAAGTGCAGGCTCACCTGCCAGGGGAACTGACCCTCAACCGACAGGTTACCGCCAACTATATGAGCATTGAACCACAAGCTATGCAGAAATAGATCAAATGATTGCTTATTAAACACTGATATGACGTTTTGAAGTTTTATTACATTTGCAATTTATAGTTTAGAAAGTGCAAACTTTTAATGCAATTTATAGTTTAGAAAGAGAAACTTTTAAAACAAATGCATTTCTAAAACACTTAAAGGTATGGAAGCTTATTTCCACCACAGAATACATTTTTATTTTTTTTTGTTGCTATTCAGTCATTATTTCTCACTATTCTGAGTACTGAGAAAGAACTCACAATAGCAAGATGTAGTTCTGAGAAGAAGAAGACAAGTCTGAATTGTGAGATAAGAACTTTCGCAAGCAATTGCAAGGAAGAAATTCAGAATTGTAAAATAAAAAGTCATAATTACTGTTCTTATATTTTTTTACTTTGAACTCTACACTGACACCTATTGGCCTGGATGTATGAGGTTGCCACTTCATGTAAGCAATACAATTTTGTTCTTTGGACATTATATATAATTTTTTCATTCTTAGTTTAGAAAGGTGAATCACACACATGCTGAGGCCTTCATGTGCAAACAGGAAGTCCAGGCCAAAACTCACACCATTATTTGAACCAAATAGCATTAGTGCTATTATTATGAATAAACACACCTGGTGATGTGATGTCAACATGGTGTCGCCAACATGGGGGCTACCTGCTTTTTCTAGAAGACTGAAAAAGTCTGAAGTCTTTATGTCATGTAGGTGAACCTCATTGTAATGATATTTCTCAAATGTGCTGTTTATTAGGTGTGAAACATTTTAAATTCCCAAAGAAAAAAATACTGAGTGTACCTTTAACATCACTAACAATAAGTATTTAAAAAAGCAACCATTAAGCTTTATCATTTTAAATGTATAAATCTGAAACTTTAGGATTGTGAACAATCTGGAATGTTGATATTTAAGCTATAATTGAGAAATGCTCCAAGGTGCTGCCACATTTACTGCTGCTCAGCAAACTTCATCACACTGACCAACTAAAAGCTGTTTGGTTCGAAAATGACTTTTGTGTGAGCTGTGCTTCATGCATCGCTCTAGTGACAGTTTTGCAGAATGTGACTGCACCTTGAAAAGTACTTTTGATGTTGCTTACCTATGCACTTAAGTGTTGTTATCATCCCCAGACTGCATTGGGTTTTACCAGGGAGAGAGAAGACAACAAAACCATTTAAATGGTTAAGAAATGGTATGCCATTAATGGGGTTAATTCATCCAAAACCACTTCTGCCTTGAGAAAAAAAGAAGGCCTATTTTTGAATAAAAATCTGCAGTGCAGGCCAAGACTATGACATAAGGAAATATCATATGACTAAAATGACCTTCTTTTGTGTACCATGGAAAAAAGAAAATGAAAAGGGTTTGTATTACTTGAGGTGAGAAAATGATGACAGAAATGGAACTGTTCATGCATGCTGAGTAAATCTACAAAATATGAATTACATTTGACTTTAAGATATTAATCTCCTGTGCTTGACAATGAAAATGAAAAGCAAATCAGCTGTAAAAGAGTTGCATTCTTAGAGGGTGAAAGGAAAGCATTAAGCACTTGAAGCTGTTGGCTACAGAACAAAGTAAATGCTAAAATCTTCTAAAGTATGCACAAGTGTTCTGGGAAACTGCTGTGAACAGATGGGACTCCAGGTCTAAAATAGTACAAAAGCAGTATGCGTCACAGAGATAAGGTAAGAGGCTGTGCTCTGTGTAAAAAATGCCCTGAATGGCTTGTATACATGATCAAATTTCCTGGCCAACATACCAAATTCAATTACATATTTACAACAGAGTCTACAATTCTAAGCAGATTAAACAGATACATTTAAATGTTTGACTTTTGCATGATTGAAACAATGAGGGCATCAGGTTCAGTTTTCAAGAGGTTTTAGTTCTGTGTAAATGAAATCAGATCAGAGCTGCTTTGTAGTTGTCACAATACTCAGCACACATCTTGCTTTCAGTCACATAAAATAATCAACTGAAGTTCAGTGTAAGAGCAAATGTTTGACTTTTGCATGATTGAAACAATGAGGGCATCAGGTTCAGTTTTCAAGAGGTTTTAGTTCTGTGTAAATGAAATCAGATCAGAGCTGCTTTGTAGTTGTCACAATACTCAGCACACAATGCTTTCAGTCACATAAAAGAATCAACTGAAGTTCAGTGTAAGAGCGGCTAGAAATGATTAAATGGGCTGATTACAAGTCAGTTTGATGTCAATGCTGTCAGTTACATTTAAAATGTTGGAAATTCTTTATGCCGGTAAAGGCCCAAGAAAGATAACTATAAAGATAACTATAACACCAAAGCATGATGATGTTCTTGTTTAGGCTATTATAAGAGTGCAGGGGTGCATTTCCCAAAAAGCAACTATGATCACAAGTTCTGTTGTTTCTAATAGAGTTCAATGGAACTTACGACCATAGTTAGCTTACGATGCTTTTGGGAAATGCACCTCTGATTGGCTGTCTGTGGTTTTAAAGTTCATCAGCTGGGGAAAAAAACAAAAAAAAGCTCTGAAAATGATTCCAACAATATTGTTACTCTGTGTCATTATTGTTCTAATTGTGGTGTGGACTTTAATATTCTTATAGAATGTGCATGATTATTAAATGTATAGTTATTTGCTATGGTTATTGTCATTGCCATTGTTCAGCAAATATCCGCAGGTGAAATCCATTTCAATAGGAATTCAAGCAATCGGGGATATTGCATAATCACATTCATATAAGATATTCCCAAGCAGATTTTACATTAGGTTCAAGTTGTTCACATGAATTCAATGTGTTGATGATGAACAGAAAGCTGCTTTGTTTGAATGTGACTTATGTGTGGGCTGTGCTTTATACTTTACTACACTATTCACCTTATTTAAAAAAACAACAACGCAGATTAAACAGATACATTTAAATGTTTGACTTTTGCATGATTGAAACAATGAGGGCATCAGGTTCAGTTTTCAAGAGGTTTTAGTTCTGTGTAAATGAAATCAGATCAGAGCTGCTTTGTAGTTGTCACAATACTCAGCACACAATGCTTTCAGTCACATAAAAGAATCAACTGAAGTTCAGTGTAAGAGCGGCTAGAAATGATTAAATGGGCTGATTACAAGTCAGTTTGATGTCAATGCTGTCAGTTACATTTAAAATGTTGGAAATTCTTTATGCCGGTAAAGGCCCAAGAAAGATAACTATAAAGATAACTATAACACCAAAGCATGATGATGTTCTTGTTTAGGCTATTATAAGAGTGCAGGGGTGCATTTCCCAAAAAGCAACTATGATCACAAGTTCTGTTGTTTCTAATAGAGTTCAATGGAACTTACGACCATAGTTAGCTTACGATGCTTTTGGGAAATGCACCTCTGATTGGCTGTCTGTGGTTTTAAAGTTCATCAGCTGGGGAAAAAAACAAAAAAAAGCTCTGAAAATGATTCCAACAATATTGTTACTCTGTGTCATTATTGTTCTAATTGTGGTGTGGACTTTAATATTCTTATAGAATGTGCATGATTATTAAATGTATAGTTATTTGCTATGGTTATTGTCATTGCCATTGTTCAGCAAATATCCGCAGGTGAAATCCATTTCAATAGGAATTCAAGCAATCGGGAATATTGCATAATCACATTCATATAAAATATTCCCAAGCAGATTTTACATTAGGTTCAAGTTGTTCACATGAATTCAATGTGTTGATGATGAACAGAAAGCTGCTTTGTTTGAATGTGACTTATGTGTGGGCTGTGCTTTATACTTTACTACACTATTCACCTTATTTAAAAAAACAACAACAAAAAAAAACATGCTGCTTGGTTGGTATTTGTTATCAAATAATTTTAATTTAATATAATCTTAGTAGCACAGATAGTTTTACCATTTACTGCACTCAGTTATTGGACTACTTATTTTCTCAAAAGCGGCGGATTGACAATGGACAATAGCCTTTGGACACAGCCTTTGAATTGGGATGCAGCTTGTGTCACCGCACATTAAGTCAAGGCTGTTCATTCCTGTTCTTGGAGATCTATATTCCTAACACCTGAACCAGCTAATTAAGATCTCCAGGAACACTTAATAATTAGACAGGTATTTTGAAGCAGGTTAACTTGGAACTGAACTTTGATCTTTGTTGCTTAAAAGCGATCTGTACTAGAAAAAAAAAAGGGGAAACTATCTGCTAAGTTCAGGACATTTTTCAGAATATTGCTGCCTTGCAAACACTGTAATTATGAGGAGACTGTTCTACCTGAAAGTGGTTATGTTGTGCATCTTGATGGCCTGCTGGACATTTGTGTGGTTCATACTTATTGACACCAGGTTACTTTGGAAGTCCTGTTCAATAGAGGACAGAGGAAGAGGTTTCGACTCCACATATCGTAGTTCTGTATGTTGTTTCAGGGTTGGCATCATCTGAGGTCCTCTGAGG